CCTTTCTCATTTTTCTTAATTTAGCTAGTGGTCCACCAATTTCATTAATTTTTTCAAAGACCCAATTTTTCGTTTTGTTGATTTTTAAAATTTTTTGACTCAATTTTATTTATTTCTTCTCTGAGCTTTGTTATTTCTCTTTTTCTGCTAGCTTTGGGTTTGGTTTGTTCTTGTTCTGTTGTTGTTGTTGTTGTTGTTGTTGTTTTGTTGTTGTTCCTTGGGGTGTAATGTTAGGTTGTTGACTTGAGATCTATCTTTTTGATGTAGGCATTTGATGCTATATAGCCCGCTGCCCGTTAGTTGGTTGTGATAAAGGGGCTGGACTGATCCCGGGTCCCCAGCTGAACACTGGTGGGTCAGCGATGGCTATGTTGTGGGCCAGCCACCAGGAAGGGCAGAACATTCTGTAATGGAAACGCCAGCAGACAGTTTTGGGAGAGACTGACAGGCATGGGGTGCTTGATCTGAATGCACCAGGTCATGCGTTAGCAGTGGCAGAGCATGAGAACACCCAGCCTCCCCTCTTGCTCCCCGGCCCTGCAGACAGGAAGGGCACCAGTGGTCTCTGGGCAGGACTCAGACCCTTGGGGTATGGGCTCCAAGAATGGCACCTTAGTGCAGCTGCTCAGCACTTGGAAGCCTATGGGATGTCACATGAGTTCTAGCCATTCCTCTGTGTGATATCCAGACACCTCCCTATGCTAGTGTGGAGGCCTGTGGGGCTCCCAGATCTCTCCATACTTAGGATTGCATAGGTCCATGGTAGGAATGTGAAAGCATTGGAAATCCTTCACTTACTCCTTCCCTGGGTCCAGATCCCAGTGACCCCAAGCAGGAAGACCTATTTCTCTTTTCTTCACCCTTAGTGTCTCCCATCATCTCTCTGCTGAATTCTGGTGTTCTCTCGCAGGCAGTCTGTTTGAAATGTGAATATCTACTTGATACTTTGGCTCCTGTCTATAGAAAGACACACCCAAGGTACATTTAATCAACCATCTTGAACCTGTCATCCAATTTCCATTTCCTTTTCTCTTTCAGTTTTGCTTGGCACCATCATAGGTACAAAGTATTTTACATTATTTAACTTGTCCAACAATTTTAAAATTACATTTTTAAACATCGTAATTTGGAAGTTAAATATAAACTTGCCCATAATCATTTTATCAGTTATTAACATCACAGACATGGTAACATAGTTCCATCCAGTATTTTTTTCTTATACAGTATTTTTCAGTATTTTTTTTTTTCCTTTGGAGATACTAGTAAGAAAAATTTTAAAGCCATATTTTGAGAACCACCAGTAAAGGAGTACCTTCCAGGGAAGTGTATAGGGATTTTGGAGGGCAAAGAGTATGCATATCATTTGAAAGTAATTATGTTATGTAAATCCATACGGAAAGATAAAATAACTCATAAAAATGAAGGATTATTCACCCAGAGATAATACTGTTTAGTTTTTACCAGGTCAAGAAGTTTGACCTGAGGCTACTGGTTGTTTTATAATTTATTCAGAAACTATGCATACATCCATGCATCTAAAATATACATCTAAAACCTACATTAAAACTACTACATTTATTTTGTTATAAGAATAATTAGTGTTTTCAAATTAGTTTTCCTCAAAGAGTTAAGTCTTAACTGGGACAACTAGTCCCTTAACTAGTCCTAAGCCTGGGATAGGCTTCTCAAATCTGATGATATAGGTATTTAATTAGAGAAATAAATATTTAAAACATGACATCTTTATGCAAACACTTTCTAAAAATCATACTCTTTTATAAGATTACGTAATTTTTTAAAAAAATATCTTTTTAGGTATGCCTTGAATGTGGAGAAGATTATTGTTCAGGATGCTTTGCTAAAATTCACCAGAAAGGGGCACTAAAGCTCCACAGAACAACTCTTTTGCAGGTATGGCTTTCTAAAATGATTTACATGTAGTGTGTTTATAAAATGTTTTCACATAAAGACATTTAAAATGTGTTTAGTTATGTAGACCTCAGGATGATTTACACTAATTTCTAAAATTCTATTATATACAGACAATCCTGAGGTATATCTTAAAATTGTTTTATTGAACACTAATCTAGACTCTATTTTACTAGTTAAACTGTTTTAATGTAGTTGCAGAAACAGCTTAGAGTCTTCAGATTATGTATTCTGACTGTGAAATTGACACTTAAAAATTAGACAATATTTTTATCGTGTTTTTAAATGAGCACATAGGTTATTTTAAGTATTATTTCTACGGTTTTTAGATATAAATCTCTTATGTTTTCAAGTTTATTTAAAAATTAGTTCTTATTTACCTTGCCCATTATTATTTAGGAAAGCTTATCTCTCAGGTTTCTATTTTTCCTTCTGTACATATAAGGACCTTGTATTTATCCTTATATGATCATTGATTTTGGAAATGCCTAAACTCAAACTCTGTCAAGTGGCTTTAAGATTCTAATACTTAAACTACAAATACGGTTAGATATAGACACGGCATTACACTAATTACAGTTAGTGATGCATTGCTTTGTCATAGATTTTATTCATTTTATAGTAATTTATTCAACAAATATTTATTGAGTACTTCCTAGAAGGCAGGGTGTGTGCTAGGCAGTGACCTTACAGAGATGAGTAATGGTAGGATCCTACTCTTAATTAGTTAAGGGTTTTAATATTATCTGTAGGCAAAGGAATGGAGATAATCAGATCTGTGTTTAGAAAGATTACTGGTGAATTTCAATCTTTACATTTACCTCAACATACTGATAAATATCAGTAACCATCAAGGGTGCTGATGACCCAAATAATGATAACCACAGAACATAAAACATACCTAACTAATATTCACCAAAGTCAGTGACTTTTGAGTGACCACTCAATGTTTAGAGCTTCTGGGCAGAAAGGATGAAGGGAAAAAAAAAAAACAAAAGCCAACCTGATACTTGCCTCTCTCATGGTATTACAATCAGATAGTCATAAGAAATGAAAATTAATTGATATAGAAGTGAGTCTAATTGTTAATATATGAATAATATTGAATTTAACTAAAGACATTCTACTTTGAAGATAAATACTGTAATATCATTACCACAGACGAGTTCATATTAGGAATTTTTCATTCAATGATTTATTCAGCACATTTTCTGAGTTATCACTCAGTGACTTTAAGCCCTATGCTGGCTGATATAAGAGATACAAAGAAGAATGAGACATGGCTCCTTTCCTTCAGTATCTGAGCTTCAAGATTTATCCAAGTTTGATTTTCTTCTTCTTGCTCTCTCTCCCTCCCTGTCTTCTCCTCTCCCTCCTACATAATTTCAAAGGGTAGACTTTGCCATAATATAGCTTATTGTGATCCAGATGCAGATATGACACCAGTTGAAATCATAATTACTAAAAGTAACATGACATACAATATGCTTTATAAACATTGAGCATTATTTTGTTTTATGCTAATGTTTTTAAAGTGTATGTATCCTGTATCTTAACAGAAGAAAGTGATCATTGCAGGTTGGAAATTTATCAAATTCCAAAGGTAGACTGGATTAAATTAGTGAGAAAGTATCTACCAAATATACACTTCATTATATATATACATATATAATGTATATATAATATATACAATGTATGTATAATGTATCTATATATAATATATACAATTATATATAATGTTTATTTTTTTGTACAAATTCCTTCAATTTACATAGTTCTTTTGCACAGAACATTTATGGCAATCTACATACTCCTTCTGCTCCCTTTCCATCTTTATTGAGCCATAATTGACAAGAAAAAATGTGTACAATTAAGGTGCATAATTTGATATTTTGACATATATATATATATATACACATTTTGAAATAATCTCCAAATTCAACATAATGAATGTTTCTATCACTTCACATTACATCACTATTTCTTTCTTTCTTTCTTTCTTTCTTTCTTTCTTTGTTCCTTCCTTCCTTCCTTCCTTCCTTCCTTCCTTCCTTCCTTCCTTTCTTTCTTTTCTTTTTCTTTCTTCTTTTCTTTCTTTCTTTCTTTCTTTCTTTCTTTCTTTCTTTCTTTCTTTCTTTCTTTCTTTC